AAATATGAGGAACTAAGAATTTATTTTGCATACTTGAGAAGAAAGGCATGAGTATCCCCAAAGATGAATTCTTGTTTTAATACAGTAATAACAAGAAGGTCATTTGATTATACCACTGTGCCACCTGGGAAGCCTCTTTGCTATCTTAGGGTCCAGTTAAATCATATAGGTATATATGGGTTAAAAATTATTTCTTTATTTGTAAAATATATATATAAAAGTTTTTAAAAATTACAATATAAAACAAAGTGTAATTATTAGTTTTAGGATTACAATAGGTATCATTGTGGCCTATAAGTATGGCTATAATATCAGATGTTTTTCTCTTCCATTAAATGATGGCAAAAAATAACTCAGATACACTTGGTTTAGTTTGAAAGCCTGCTAAAAAATATAAGAAATAACAAAGAATAGTCAGCTATCATTGAAATGGCAAAAACAGGATGCATACCTATAGAAAGGAAAGAAAAAACCAGGAAGGAATGTCTGGCCACCCGGGTCTTTAGGGAAAATTATGGAGCATCTGAAAACTCTCAAATATTTATCTGTGGAAAGTGTCTATGTGTTTGCCAATGTTTTTTCACCTTCATTTCCAGTTTAGATACGTCATGGTTGCACCATTTCTGTCATTAAAATTGCTCAGTAAGAGTAACAGTCAAACCCCCTCACCCCTTAAGATAGTTGAAAAGATTAAATGAGTTGAAACACTTGATGTGCTTAGGACATTGTGTGTTAGTTGCTTAGTTGTATCCGACTCTTTGTGACTCCATGGACTGTAGCCCACCAGGCTCCTCTGTCCATGGGGTTCTCCAGGCAAGAATACAGGAGTGGGTTGCCATTTCCTTCTCCAGGGAATCTTCCTAACTCAGAGATCGAACCCAGGTCTGCTGTGTTGCAGGCAGATGCTTTACCGTCTGTGCTACTAACATTGTCTGGCATTTTGTTTATTATATTTTTATTGTTTAGAGACATCACTTTCAGCTGCTCACACATGCATACACAATTTGTTTCATTACCATTGTCGTCATCATCGTGTTCATGCTCAGTCATGCCTGACTCTTTGTGACCCCATGGACTGTAGCCTGCTAAGCTCCTCTGTCCATTGGATTTTTCAGGCAAGAATACTGGAGAGGGTTGCCATTTCCTTCTTCAGGGGGTCTTCACCACCCAGGGATAAAACCCATGCCACCTGTGTCTCCTACATTGAGGGCAGATTCTTTACTCGCTGAGCCATTGGGAAGCTCACAGTTACAGAGCTTCTTTACTCGCTGAGCCATTGGGAAGCTCACAGTTACAATCACCATTGTAGGTAATGACAATTCCATGTTGTTAAATCCAAATGTAGGCATCTTTGACTCTCTCTTTCACACTCCTCTCATGTCCAATTAGTAAACAACTCTTGTTGGTCCTAACTTACAGCTAATCACAGTCTTTACTGAATTTTTACTACTTCTGTTATTATCCTAACCTCACTTCAGTTCAGTTCAGTCATTCAGTCATGTTCGACTCTGCAACCCCATGGACTGCAGCACACCAGACTTCCCTGTCCATCATCAACTCCTGGAGTTTACTCAAACTCATGTCCATCGAGTGGGTGATGACATCCACACATCTCATCCTCTGTCATCCCCTTCTCCTCCTGCCTTCAATCCTTCCCAGCATCAGGGTCTTTTCCAATGAGTCAGTTCTTTGCATCAGGTGCCCAAAGTATTGGAGCTTCAGCTTTAGCATCAGGCCTTCCAATGAATATTCAGGACTGATTTCCTTTAGGATGGACTGGTTGGATCTCCTTGCTGTCCAAGGGACTCTCAAGAGTCTTCTCCAACACTACAGTTCAAAAGCATCCATTCTTCGGGGTTCAGGTTTCCTTATAGTCCAGTTCTCACATACATACATGACTACTAGCAAAACCATAGCTTTGACTAAATGGACCTTTTATCCTAACCTACCACTTATTAACTCCAGGGAGGCTGTAGCTTCTAGCTGATCTTCCTGCTTCCATCAGTCCTGTGTTCATTCATTGGGCTTTTGTTACAGGGAAAACAAACTTAAGAAAAATGAATTCACAATGTTTGCAGTATATTTAGATTTAGGAAACAGATACAACATATAACTTGCAACTACATTAACAATGCAAACATCAATTTTTTAAAAAAAGCAAACATTCTCAGCTTCACTACTTTAAGTAATTACTTTCTATAACTATTAAGAATGATAGACAAAAGGACAAAGAAACAAAGAACCTTATTTCTATCTCATTTACATGAGAATTATTACACACTATAAATTATTATTAATTTCATCTTAACTATTTCTATTACTTTTAATTTATCTAAAATACTCCACATACCTTGATTCTAACTTAACTCTAAGGAATTTTATTCTAAAGACCCAGAGGGATGGGGTGGGGAGGGAGGTGGGAGGGGGGATCAGGATGGGGAATACATGTAAATCCATGGCTGATTCATGTCAATGTATGGCAAAAACCACTACAATATTGTAAAGTAATTAGCCTCCAACTTATAAAAATTAATGGGGAAAAAAAAGAAAAATATCATATCACATTTGAAAATTCTTTTTTTTCTTAGCTGTGCCCCACAGCTTGTGGGATCTTAGTCCCCAGCCACAGATTAAACCTGTGCTCTCAGCAGCAAAAGCCTAGAGTCCTAACCACAACTCGGCATAAGTAAATTAGGGAGAAAGAGGAGAGTGAGAAAGTTGGCTTAAAACTCAACATCCAGAAAACTAAATCATGGTATCCAGTTCCATCACTTCATGGCAAATAGATGGGGAAACAATGGAAACAGTGACAGACCTTATTTTGGTGGTGCAGGGGGCGGGGGCTAGAAAATCATTGCAGATGGTTACTACAGCCATGAAAGTAAAAGACACTTGTTCCTTGGAAGAAAAGCTATGACCAACCTAGACAGCATATTAAAAAGCAGAGATGTTACTTTGCCAACAAAGCTCTGTCTAGTCAAAGCTATAGTTTCTCCAGTAGTCATGTATGGATGTGAGAGTTGGACTATAAAAAAAAGCTGAGCACCAGAGAATTGATGCTTTTGAATTGTGGTGTTGGAGAAGACTCTTGAGAGTCCTTTGGACAGCAAGGAGATCCAACCAGTCCATCCTAAAGGAAATCAGTACTGAATATTCATTGGAAGGCCTGATGCTAAAGCTGAAACTCCAATACTTTGGGTACCTGACACAAAGGACTGACTCATTGGAAAAGACCCTGATTCTGGGAAAGATTGAAGGCAGGAGGAGAAGGGGATGACAGAGGATGAGATGGTTGGATGGCATCACCAACCTGATGGATGTGAGTTTGAGTAAGCCCCAGGAGTTGGTGATGGACAGGGAAGCCTGGCGTGCTGCAGTCCAAGGGGTCGCAGAGTCAGACACGACTGAGTGACTGAACTGAACTGAAAGAAGGTGTAACACACAGAATGCAATATTATTCAGACCTGTAATCATAGCCAAAGATTGCTTCTCTTCTTAGAGAGGAAACATACAATATGTAATATTTCCCTTCAGAAAAGGAAGTCCATGTATGTTGATACTATAGTAAGTCATTCAAATAGATAAGGCTGCAATTTAAGACGTTGACTTTACAAAAGTAGAGTTTCTGGTAATGCCAGATTCCAAAGGTTATTAAAAAATAATGAAGACAAGAGACATACCCAAAGCTAAGGCCATGAGTTATAATATCCAAGGTTGTAAAGTCAGTGGGTTCTAGAAAAATAGGCAGGGAACACAATCCAAATAGAGGAAACCAAAAAGGGAGAGGGACCATTGAAATCAAGGAAAGTTTGATGGGTACCAGAGACAAGGGCAGTATCAGTATCAGTTAGCTTTGGCTGCATAACAAACCACCCCAAAACTTAGTCACTCAAACAACAACCACTTATTTATATGACATTTCCACAAGCTGGTGATTTGGGCTGGAACTGTGCTCAGCTGGATGGTGCTTTTAGTCTAGGCTAGGTTCAACTGTTCTCAGCAAAGTAAATGTTACTTAGTAGTGTCCAATTCTTTGCAACCCCATGGACTGTATAGTCCATGGAATTCTCCAGGCCAGAATACTGGAGTCGGTAGCCTTTCTCTTCTCTAGGGGATCTTCCTAACCCATGAATCGAACCCAGGTCTCCCTCATTGCAGGCTGATTCTTTACCAGCTGAGCCACAAGGGAAGACCAAGAATACGGAGTGGGTAGCCTATCCCTTCTCCGGTGGATCTCCCGACCCAGGAATTGAACCAGGATCTCCTGAATCGCAGGCAGATTCTTTACCAACTGAGCTATCAGGACTTACTCATACCTCTGCAGTCACCTGCCAGGTCATCTGGGAACAGGTTGATTGTTAGCTGGAGCACCTTGCTTCTTGTCCATGTGGCCCCACATCTTCACATAGCCCAGCTTGGACTAGTTCCAAGACCTCCAACCTGGAGGTCTCAAGGTTCTGAGAGTGGTAGGAACACAATCTACCTGGGCTTGGGACACTCACAACCTCACTTTCACTGAATGTATTAATCAAAATAAGTAACAAGTCCTTCCCAGATTCAATGGGTAGGGAAATAAACTCCCACTTGGAAGGAAGGGCTGCAAAATATTGTGGCCCTTTTTGCAATCTACTGCCGTCACCTACACAATTCTTCAAGGACATGTCTCTGAAAGCATCCTTAAGTGGGTAACTGTTACTTGGCAAAAATAATCCCTTTCCTGTAAAGAATCCCCAGGGCCAATTTCATGTCTCTGTTCCTCAGGCTGTAGATAAAGGGGTTTAACATGGGCGTCACCACGGTATACATAACTGAAGCAACTATGTCTTTGACTTTGGAATTGTTTTCTGAAGAGAAGAAGTAAATCATTGCAAGAGCCCCATAATACAAAAATACCACAAAGAGGTGGGAGCCACATGTGGACAAGGTTTTGCAGATTCGCTTGATGGACGGGACCCTCAGGATGGTGGCCCCGATGCAGATATAAGAGCCCAAAATAGCACTCAATGGCAAGAAGGCAAACACGCCCCCCTCAGTGAAGATAACTAACTCATTAAGGGAGGTGTCTGAGCAGGTCAACTTTAAGAGGGCAGCGAGATCACAGAAGAAGTGGGGGATGGTATTGTCTGCACAGTAAGACAGTCGGGACAGAAGCAGAGTATGCAACAGGGCGTGGACACAAGAGACGAACCAGGATCCAGCTGTCAGTAGGACACACAACCCCTCCCTCATGATGGCAGTGTAGTGGAGTGGCTGACAAATGGCCACGTACCTGTCATAAGCCATCACTGCGAGAAGGAAATTGTCAAGACAAACAAAAAGTAGAAAAAAATACATCTGTGCTATGCACCCTGCATAAGGGATGGATCGATCTTGAGTCTGCATGTTCACGAGCATCTTAGGGACAGTGACAGATGAGAAAAACACATCAGAGAAGGCCAAGTGGCTGAGGAAGAAGTACATGGGGGTGTGGAGGCGAGAGTCCAGTCTGATGAGCAGGAGGATCAGCAGGTTGCCCAGCACGGTGGTCAGGTACACGCCCAGGAACAGGGTGAAGAACGCGCCCTGCTGCTCTGGCCGGATGGGGAGCCCCAGGAGGAGGAACTCGGACACGTGGCTCTGGTTCTCCCTCCTCATTCTCTTCTTAATCTCTGCTGGGGATAAAGGGAGTAGAAAATATCAAAGACTGAGGTATGGTGATTGTTGTCACCATGAGTACATTACAGCCATGTGCTTTTTTATTTTTTTGCCTGGAGACTGTATCAAAATTCTGACAAACTGCATATTTTCCTGCTGGAATTTTCTGTCTGCATCCTTCTGGTCACAGAGTGCATGAGATTTCCAGTGGCAAACAAGGCTTTCTTTCAAAGGACAGTAATGTAAATATCTTCATTTATTCAACCATGTTCTAGACACTATTCTTGACACTGGGAATAGAACAGAAAATAACATGTAGTCACACACACACACACACACACACACACACACACACACACAAATCATAGACCTCAGAGACCAACATCCATTCACTTTATGACCTATACTCATTCTAGGTTAAAAACAGTCAGGATTTGTGTTACTTTCAAACAAACTAACACATACATACAACACAACACATAAACATCACACCTAGCCTTGAGACAAAGCACAACCCACAAAAAAGCGCATACTATATACACACAGATACACATGTAGTCATGCACTCAATTATAACACACAAACATAAACCTAAGCAGCATGTGCATGTACACACAAACACACTACCAGGAAGATTTTTTCAGCCCTTTATAATCTATCTAAATCCTTCCTACATATAGAGAGTTGATATACAATCTTCAGTTACCCACTGAATACACTGGGTTATACAAATACAAAGACACATATGTGCACATACATTCCTGCATGGACATATACATGCAGTGCCAAGAGATGATTTTCCATCTTCCTCTGACCTGTGACAATACTTGGGGAGCTCAGATACCTCTGCTCAAGGCTGTTTTCTTAGCCTTCACTTGCTATGCAAGAAACCAGTATCCAAAGAACAAGAAGAAGTTCTTGTGACCTAAGGATCTTCTGAATGTTTCATGCCTGTCTCTGAGCAGCAGCAAAGTGAGAAAGAATATCCCCATTCACCAACCAGGTTAATACTAGCAGGAAAACAACCCTGATCTCTGATTAGAGAAGGAGCCTACCTGAGCTATTTACCTAATTTCCTGCCTTCCCCTGGAGAGGTGACTGTGAAAGGATTAGAGGAGCTGAGCCAGGAGTCCCAGGAGAAAGTGGCCTTGATGTTAATGTTGACGCCTTAGAAAGCAGAAGTGACGATAGTAACCTTGCCTTCTCAAGGACCCACAGCATGGAGCTAGCCTCCCCATGCATCACAGAATGGCCCAGACAGAGTAAAGCCTGGTCTTTGCATATTCCCACATCACTGGCCTCAGTCTCTTTTAGAGAACATGTTCTAAGACCACAGAGAGAGCTTACAGGTCTCACCATCTCTGCAGAGAGGGGCTGAGCCTTGTTCAGACAGAAGCAGGGTGACGAGGTTGATCCCAAGGGCCTTGGACACAGACTGACCCAAGATCAGTACCATCCCTGCCACTTACCCACTGGGTGCCCTAAGCAAAGATGATCCTGTTCCTCAGATCTGATTATAGTACCTTGTTCATGAGGTTATTGTGAGGGTTAAAGGAGATATTGTATGTGAAAGCACTAAGCCCAGCCAGTTTCCTGAAAACCAGTTGGTCTAAGGGACTAATATCCTGGTCAATTTGCCAAATGAAAAACTCCCGTTTGTCATTGTGCCAGTTGCCATCACTGTATAACCCACCAAACTAAGTATTTATTTTAAATTTTGATAGTAACCAAAAGCAGGCTGTGGATGAAAGAGAGGCACACAATACTTTCATTTTCATTTCTTACTTTTGGGAGTGGCTCTTGTTCGTTCATCATTAAGAATGATGGCAGGATACTCAGCTCTCTGCCAGCAACGAGAATGACAGAGTTCAAGTAGCAACCCCAAACCTTAGGAAGCCAAATGAATTCAATTTTTGTAATAAATTGGGTCTCAGTCAGGGTTCTACAGCAAAGAGAACCACTGGGACATAGATAGAATCAAGGCAACATAGACAATCTCATATTACATAAATGCATACATTCCTACATGCATGAAACTGGGTGTACTTGTGTATATATACTATATATATATAGTTTGAAATATATTTTAAATATAAATTAGATACATATTTTGTGGAAAAGCTGGATTAAAACTCAGTGTGTGTGTTCATGTGTGAGGGTACATTTTTGTGTATCCGGTGGAATTATATACCAAGTAAGAAAACACATACCCTTATATACACACAGTTCAGTTCAGTCACTCAGTCATGTCCAACTCTTTGCAACCCCATGGACTTCAGCACACCAGTCCTCCCTGTCCATCAACAACTCCTAGAGTTTACTCAAACCTATGTCCATTGAGTCAGTGATGCCATCCAACCATCTCATCCTCTGTTGTCCCCTTCTCCTCCGGCCTTCGATCTTTCCCAGCATCAGGGTCTTTTCAACTGAGTCAGCTCTTCGCATCAGGTGGCCAAAGAATTGGAGTTTCAGCTTCAACATCAGTCCTTCCAATGAATATTCAGGGCTGATTTCCTTCAGGATGAACGGATTGGATCTCCTTGCAGCCCAAGGGACTCTTAAGAGTCTTCTCCAACACCACAGTTCAAAATCATCAATTCTTTGGCGCTCAGCTTTCTTCATAATCCAAATCTCACATCCATGCATGACCACTGGAAAAACCATAGCCTTGACTAGATGGATCTTTGTTGGGAAAGTAATGTCTCTGTTTTTTAATATGCTGTTTAGGTTGGTCATAACTTTCCTTCCAAGGAGCAAGCATCTTTTAATTTCATGGCTGCAATCACCATCCACAGTGATTTTGGAGCTCAAAAAAATGAAGTCAGCCACTGTTTCCACTGTTTCTCCATCTATTTGCCATGAAGTGATGGAACCGGATGCCAAGATCTTAGTTTTCTGAATGTTGAGCTTTAAGCCAACTTTTTCACTCTCCTCTTTCACTTTCATCAAGAGGCTCTTTGGTTCTTCTTCACTTTCTGCCAAAAGGGTGGTGTCATCTGCATATCAGAGGTTATTGATATTTCTCCCAGCAATCTTGATTTCAGCTTGTGCTTCTTCCAGCCCAGTGTTTCTCAAGATGTACTCTGCATGTAAGTTAAATAAGTGCTCAGGGCTGGTGCACTGGGAAGACCCAGAGGGATGGGATGGGGAGGGAGGTGGGAGGGGGGATCAGGATGGGGAACACATGTAAATCCATGGCTGATTCATGTCAATGTGTGGCAAAAACCACTACAATATTGTAAAGTAATTGGCCTCCAACTAATAAAAATAAATGAAAAAAAAAGAAAAGAAAAATTAGAGAAAAAAAAGTTAAATAAGCAGGGTGACAATATACAGCCTTGACATACTCCTTTTCCTATTTGGAACCAGTCTGTTGTTTCATGTCCAGTTCTAACTGTTGCTTCTTGACCTGCATACAGGTTTTTCAAGAGGCAGGTCAGGTGGTCTGGTATTCCCATCTCTTTCAGAATTTTCCACAGTTTATTGTGTTCCACACAGTCAAAGGCTTTGGCATAGTCAATAAAGCAGAAATAGATGTTTTTCTGGAACTCTCTTGCTTTTTCGATGATCCTGCGGATGTTGGCAATTTGATCTCTGGTTCCTCTGCCTTTTTAAACACCAGCTTGAACATCGGGAAGTTCATGGTTCATGTATTGCTGAAACCTGACTTAGAAAATTTTGAGCATTACCTTACTATCGTGTGAGATGAGTCCGATTATGCAGTAGTTTGAGCATTCTTTGGCATTGTCTTTCTTTGGGATTAGAGTGAAAACTGACCTTTTCCAGTCCTGTGGCCTTTGCTTAGTTTTCCAAATTTGCTGGCATACTAAGTGCAGCACTTTCACAGCATGATCTTTTAGGATTTGAAATAGCTCAATTGTAATTCCATCACTTCCACTAGCTTTGTTTGTAGTGATGCTTCCTAAGACCCCCTTGACTTCATTCCAGGATGTCTGGCTCTAGGTGAGTGATCACACCATTGTGATTATAGGGGTCAAGAAGATCTTTTTTGTACAGTTCTTCTGTGTATTCTTGCAATCTCTTCTTAATATCTTCTTGAGGGTTGGACTATAAAGGCTGAGAGCTGAAAAATTGGTGCTTTCAAATTGTGGTGCTAGAGAAGACTTTTGAGAGTTCCCTGGACAGCAAGGAGATCAAACCAGTCAATCCTAAAGGAAATCAACCCTGAATATTCACTGGAAGGACTGATGCTGAAGCTGAAGCTCCAATAATTTGGCCACCTGATGTGAAGAGCCTACTCATTGGAAAAGACCTGAAGCTGGGAAAGACAGAGGATAGGAGGAGAAGCGGGTGACAGCGATGGTTGGATGGCATCACCAATTCAATGGATGTGAGTTTGAGCAAACTCTGGGAGATTCTGAAGGACGGGGAAGCCTGGTGTGCTGCAGGTCATGGGGTTGCAAAGAGTTGGACGTGACTTAGGGACTGAGCAACAACAACAACATATATATATAATATATAGTTTGAAAAGATGCAGACAATCTGGATATTATATAGAACATAACACTGCCCCACTAAATCAATGACATCATGGTAATTGGATCAGAAGACCAGGAAGTTGTTAACAAATTGGAGCTTTAGCAAGACACATTCAATCCTGAAGATGGGAGATAAACACTACAAAGATACAGGGACCCCTTCACATCAGTGTCATTTTTAGGTTCAGGGATCTAAGAGAGCAATCAGAAAGTTATGGCTGCATAGAATATCCCTATAGCCAGATGACAGAGGTGGATAAACCCTGAATATGGTTTACAAGTGGGTCAGCTCACTGTGTAAGAGCAGGTCAAAAATGAACAATGACTACACCATAGCTCAATAATGGTTGCTTTGTAAGAGAGTCCTTAGTTTTAAGCTTTCTCTAAAGATAATCTTGGCTGAAGAAAACTGTTTCACCAAAGAAAATGCTTCTTTCCAGGACAGCCTACATCCAGTCAGCAGCAGTGTCAACCATACTCCTTGACATTCGAGCTTCCAAA